CTTCAGAATTTGATTGAAGGTTTGATTTTTTGGATAATCAATATTATATGGATTTAGGGTTTCAAAACGTTAACTATTTAGGATTTTTGACCGATTTTGGGAATTTTTACAGAAAATTATCGGCAGCTCAAGATCTATCTCGGAAGCTGAGGTATGTAGAATTTTAGGGTTTTTATATATATATATATTTTTTTTAGGGTTTTTATATGACAAAGGGGTTTCGATGTTTCTGTTGACTAATTAAGGCTTTTCAGACAGGTTTCACAGACAGATTTTGGTGGTGGCTTCAAGCTGAGGTATTTGTAATTTCATAGATAGATGGTACTGTTAAGTGATTTAGCTTTGTCTGACTTTAATCGATTTTGCTTTCTTTTTCAGAATTTCGTTTACAAGATATTTGCAACCTAAAGGTACTTTGTAGATAATCCTGCTCATTCTCTAGTATGTGTATCTAAAGTCTTAGTGTATTGGGGCTTATGTTCATTATCACACATGTTTTAAACCCTTTGAGCTTGGAGTTGTGGTGGTGCTATGACATGGATAAGTCTTGGGTTTGGCTTCCAAGGTGTGGTTTTATATGTAATTATTGTTAACTCTGTTACTTACAACTGAGTTTCTTACGATCGAATTTCAAATGTTTTCTGCTTTATAGGACTAGCCTTGAGTGTGAGTAAGGAGCAACATATTTTGCTTATGGGCCAGCAAAGAGGTTGGGCTACTGCAAAGATGTTTTGTCCATGTCTCCAATGCCAAAATCTAAGCCACCAATCAGTAGCCACAGTCTTGGATCATTTGGTTATTAAAGGAATGGATCAGAAGTACAAGAGAAATAAATGTTAGAGTAAGCACGATATCGAGGAGATAAGGGAATTGAAGACAGGTGGTGAACAGACTTCTAAATTTGAAGCTTATGAGTTGTTTCAAGCTACTTTCTTCAATGGTGATGACAATTTACAGCACCGGAGTGACAAAACAGATCAGTATGATGGTATTGAAGAAGAAGAAGAAGAAGACAAAGAGTTTATGATGAAGTTGGAAGATGCTGAAACTCCTCTCTACAACATATGTCCTAACTACACCAAAGTGTCTGCTATCATGGGGCTTTACAAAATAAATTTAAGAGTGTAATGTTAGAGAACTATTTTAATCAGCTTCTGAAGATAGTTCACGACATGCTACCGAAAGATAATGTGCTTCCAACATCAACAGAGGCGATGAAGAACTACTTAAAGATATTTGGGTTTGGCTATAAAATAATCATGCATGCATGAATGATTGCATCTTATACCGGTAGCAGTATAAAGATTTTACAAGCTTCCCTCGTTGTAAAACTTCTAGATGGGAAGTGGACAAGCACATGAAACAGGAAAAGAATGGGATTCCTGCTAAGGTTCTTAGATACTTCCCGATAAAGGACATGTTTAGAAGGATGTATAGATAAACAAGGATGGCCGAGGAAATGTGTTCGCATTTCAGTAGTGCTTCAGAAGATGGAACGATGCGGCACCCATTGGACTCAATAACTTGGTCTCAAGTTAATGCTAAATGGCCAGAGTTTACGTTTGACCCGAGAAATCTTCGAATTGGTTTGTCTACTGATGGGATGAACCCATTTTCAAACCAGAGCACGAAGTACAGTACATGGCCAGTCCTGCTAATCAACTACAACATGCCACCTACATTGTGTTTGAAGGCAGAGAATGTAATGTTCACTATGTTGATCCTTGGATCAACATCACCGAGCAACAACATCGACGTCTATCTTCAACCGTTGATAGAAGATCTACAGGATTTATGGAGGAAGGTATGGAGGTTTATGACTCATTTTCCAACGGAACTTTGAATCTCATAGCTATGTTGATGTGGACTATCAGTGATTATCCTGTTTTGGGGTGTTGGCAGGCTGTAAAGTCAAAGGTAAACAAGCATGTAATGTTTGTGGCAAGGATACACCTTTAGGTGGCTAAAGTTTAGTAAAAAATATGTCTACATGTGCAATAGAAGAAGACACAGACCAGGTCATCCTTACAGACGCAAACGGAGTTGGTTTGATAACACTTTCATATAACTATTAGATCTAATTGGTTCTCTAGCTCCTTGTGAATTCGATCCACAGCTAAACCTCTTATTTGAGAGAGTAATTCTCTCCTTAAGGTAATTTGAGTGATATCAAATTTGGCGCTGTTGTCGGGGAGCTTTGATCGTCATTAGATCATGTTTAGTCAGATTTAGCCTAGGTTTTGTTACTGATCAAAAAACTCATAAAAAAAATTTATTTTATTTCAGATACATACATCTGAGTACCATAAAACAATGAAGAGATGATTTCTATCTCCTTCAAAGAAGGAGCCTGCTGGTGTATGCACGATTTGTAAGTCTATGAGGGAAGAATCGATTGACACCCTCCAAGCAGCAGCGATCGCCAGCGTACACCATCAATCGATCGACACCATTCATCCGACTTCGATCGACACTATTCACCATGTGTCGGATGGCACTGTTCATCACGGTACTGTTAGTCTCTGGACTATTCATTCTCTGTCGATAGATAATACAGTTCACCCCGCGTTGATTGACACTATTTATCTCGCATCGATCGACACTGTTAATCCTGACACTTTTCACCGTGGTACTGTTTATCATGACATTGTTCACCCAAACACTGTTCATCTGAATATTGTTCTTCCAAACATTGTTCATCAGGGTACTGTTTATCTGAAGTGTTCTTCTCGACACTGTTCATCCGGTGAAAAACGACAACACTTACGTGAAGACATAAAAGATCAAAGTAGTTATACTTAAGGTTGATGAGAATGGGTTGCTACGAGACGAAGAAGGTCGCCCTCGCAACAGTGCATGAAAATTAATTAATGCACATGGTTATGTAATCCCTGATGTGATTATTGTTGCTGAGATGGATGATTTTGATCTTAGCCGAGAATGGTATGATGGAGTAGGTAAAGACCCCTTCCAAGGTCTTCCTCACCAAGATCCCATAAACCACATCGCAGAGCTTGTAGATTTAGTGTCAAGGAGTGAGCAAAATGAAGTATCTGAATACCAAATGCTCTGCAAGATCTTTCCCTATTTTATCTCTGGGATGCATTTAGCTGATTTAGTCAACTACAGCCAAAATTTTTAACCAGTTGGGATGACATTGAAAAAGCCTTCATTTACAAATTTCTTGATGATGCTGAAGCAACTCGAGAAAAAGAGAAGAATGATAAATGGGACAGGCTTATGGAATGCTGGCAGATAAAGAGGGAAGATCTGATTTCAAGATGGATGATCACCTACATTATGGCAAAGGATGATGAATATCATGGATCTGGAGAATTAAGCAGAGTGTAGAAAGATGGTATTGGAGACTCGACCTCACAATCGATCGACAGTCCGACCACACCACCGATCAACATCACCGTCTCAGCATCAATCGACAGCACCACCTCAGAATCGATTAGCAGCAGAACTACAACATCGATCTACAGCACAACCTCAAATCAATCGATAGGAACCCTTGTTGTCGACTGACACCTATTCAAACCCCTAAAAGTTCTAGTTGTCCTCAGGACATTGCAGACTCGACACTGAAGAGCACAGATGAATCAAGTTACCAATCTACCCATGGACGACCAGGAATCTTATTTATGTATTTCTAAGCCATTGTTGACGCCTAGACAATATCTAAGCTTTCTATTCTATTGTTCTAGTTCTCAGAGAGAAGGGAGGAACTCCATTAGAGTCTTCTAGAAACTCCTTTGGTTTATTTATTGCTTTTATCTATTTTATATCTATTCTTTTTTTTTTACATCCTATTTTATATCTATTCATCTATGATTTCTGTGACAAACTTCATGTCTAAATAAATCCACCTGTTCGGTTTAGGGTTAAATAGGTTAGTAGATTAGCCCCAGCTATAGAACTGCTAGTTGTGATATTCATTAATAGAATGTTCTTAATGCTTATGTTCTAAATTTCTACCTAGAAACCTGATCTAAGGATTTGCTAGAGATATTGTTCTGAATCTATTTTGTTAAGTTAAGACTTGTTAGAGTATAACAAGAGCTTGATCTAATAACCTTATTGAGCATTTGTTCAACCCACGCATAAAGCTTAACTAGAAGAGCGTCGATCGATATCCTGAAAGGTTAATCGATCGAATGAGTGAAAAATGTATCGAGCGATATTCCTCTAAATAATCGACCGACACTGCTATTTATCGAACAACACAACATTGATTGGGTTAATAGATCTAGTTAATAGACTCTTACACAAAGGCTAAAGCTGATGAATGTGTTATTAAGTAGTTGTGCTCTTTAATATCATTACAAACAACCACTACAAGAAAATGTCACATATATAGCATAAGTAAAACGCTATTACAGTGAAACACAACATTATGGTGAACACTGTGTCTGCCCCTGCAATCTTTTCTTCGGCACTTTATATAGCTTCTTTTAAATCCTATTTCAAATAACCCATTCAATAGCTTTTAGTTTGTTTTGCAATTATCTGTCTTATTATAGCATATACTAATAGCTATTGTAGCAATATTAATAAATTAAAAAAAATATATAAAATATAATATTATAAATTATTTAATATATTGAAATTATTTACAAAATAACCAAAACAAACAAAAATCTAAACCTAAACTAAACCAAAACCTAAATTGTTTAGTAGAAACAAGAACAAGCATCCATAAGTATAAGAAGCAATGCAACTAATACACAACTTCAGTCGACCCTTTAGTTGCTTTGATCTAACCTTATGAGTCCTCTTGTTCACTCCTCGAGATGAGTCACTTGCTACATTTTCCGCCATGTTAAGGAGTGAGATGCAGGTACATGGTAAATAGTATGACTTGTCTCAGGTATCTAACATCATCTCCAACAATGGAAGATAAAACGATAGCATATTACCTTCTGTAATTGCATGATTCTATATCTTCCAACCGTAAATACACGCACTTTCAGTGCCTTGTACAAAAGCTTTATCTTCTACATCTCCACTGCTATAACCCACCAGTGAGAAACTTCACAAGCTTCCTTTCAATACGCAAAACAGTGTCAACAAAACAAGTCAAAAGGAAGGTTATAAGGTCAGCCACACAAACACAAAGAAACCAAAAGGAAAAGAGGATGCAAGATCTATTAAGAAAGACTAAACTGCAGTCAACAAAGGTTAACCACAAGAAGACGAGTCACTGCAGTCCATGATGGATATCTCCCATATAATGTGTTAAGAACATAAGAGCTTCTGATTTGGCCAAAAAAAAAAGAATTTTCAGAAACATACATCTATTGGTTCGTGTAATTGAAGACTGCTCATGTCAGTCACCGTAGTCAATGATGTACACCTACACAAGAACAAAGCGGATATATCCGAGGATAGATACAAGTGTATTCAGTCTGATCAAAATCAAGAGTCAAGAGAGACACACTGAAGCAGAGTAAGTACCATTTCTTTGTCATACTTGAGATGCTTTTCCTTGATGATAGAGAATATGTAAAATCCAAAAGAACAAGCTTAGCAAACGTTCATAAGCAAAGATCGGTGGTTACAACTAGAGCTTTACCATGATGGAGTAGAATATCAGCAGAGAAGTGATCATCCCAAAGACTTGCTGGTCTTTGATGCATTTGGTGTGATCATGTTTGTAATATCAGCAGAGAAGCAATAAAGAAATCTAACCAGCGAATCTTAAACTAGGAAACAGATGCAGCTTACGATAATGGTCTTATATGTATTCCTAGTGGATTCGCCAGTTTTCACAGCTGAGTTAATTGAATGCAAGAGGAGAAACAATTAATACCTTGTGCCAACAAAAAACAGGAACCCAAGAAATAAGCTTCATCGCTCGATTTTGGCAACTCGGTATCTCAACTTCCGATTATGATTGTCCTGAAGCAACCAAGCAAGATGTTATTTTTCTAGACAGCAATTAATAAGAGGACAAGACCAACTAAACTCTTGGCTTTAAGACAACTTCTATGCAACTAGAACAATACAATAATTCGAATTTCATACCAGTTCAACTACTTTTTCAGAACTCTTCTCAACCTCAGAAGCCAAGCTCTCAACTTTCCGAACATCCTCTCATACATCTCCTCAATCCCACCTGCATAGTTCACAGCTTCAACTCCCACCAAACGCATCAAGTTCCCAACTTGAAAACCATCTGCCAACGCATCAGCTTCCTTCTGATCCTTCACCTCTTGCTTCTTCACACTAAAAGATTTTCATTTGTCGAAGAGGAACAAAAAGATTGAACCCAAATAAAAAAAATTCGGATTTGATTCTCCAGCAAACTTAAATACCATTGTCACAAGAGAAACAAAGAATCTACCTATGAATAGTGTTAGACCTAAACGTAAATCAGAAGGAAGAGAGGTATTAAAGAACAAAACAGAGAGAGAGAGAGAGAGAGAGAGGAGAGATGACCCGTGGTGGTAATGGCGTGAAAGAATCAAAGGGGGTGCTGGTGGTGACGAGAGCTACAGTGGTGGCGGTGGTGGTGGTGGTGGTAGTGACGAACGCGACAGTGGTGGTGGTGGTGGTGGTGATGGAGAAGATGGGAAGTCAGTTCAAGATCTCTGTCTTTTCTCCTTTGTCATCGAAGAAGCCTCTCTCTCTCTCTCCTTCTCTTCATCTCTCTCAATCCGCCATAGCAGAGCTAGGGTTTGGATTTCAGATCTGAGAGGTTATAAGGGAGACTTACAATAAAATGAGAGGGAGACTCGATGAATGTTGGAGAGGGAAATGAAAAAAAATTCCGCTGGTGAGAGAGAAAATGAAATTAGGGTGATGGAGAAAATCAATTATTTTTCCGTCCACGTTTTTTTTTTCTTTTACATCAAACGGCTGTTCTATTATTCAAACGACTTGAGGTGGTCGGGTAACCAGATCGGAACAGAACAACCAATATACACAAGCTTACGATAAAAGGACCTAACTAATTTAATTAAAGAATCAGAAACGCCATTCTGAAGTCTAGGAACATAAGAGATCTTGAAGTCTGGAAAGCAGATCTTCAGCGTCATCAATTTTTCCAACTCTATTGAGAAGCTAGGCCATGCCTAAGGATTCCTGAGCATTTCGATCATCTCCTTACAATCAGTCCCAAAGCTCTGACATGGCGAATGTTGAAGCATGTTCTCCATTGCCCAAACGCAGTGCTTCCAACTCTGAATGCAACGTCGATTCCACTCGATCAAAATTACGCACCCACAACAACTGGCTATTTCCAGAAGCATCATTCAAAACCCACCCACATCCACTGAATGAGTCCGTTGAAGTCCAAGATCCGTCCACCATGCAGATGTTTCCCAAGCTTAAGGTCTGGTCTTCACCTAATCCATCCCCAAGAGGAGGCAGTATTTCCTGCTCATTTGCTTGGAACCATGCTTGGCATTCACTCTCTGCGTACCGCGCCACTTCCAATGGGTCCCTATCAATGCCTCGGAATAACTTATCATTCCTAACCTTTCAAATGTACCAGATTAGCCAAGGATAAGGATCCCTATCCAACTCCGGTTCCATTATTGCATTTTTCCTCCAGAACAGATAATCTATATTCGCGTACGTGCTTTGAACTGGAAACATAGCTAGATTGGTAGGCGTACATGATAGCGCCCAAACCTGTAAAGCAGGTGGACATTCAAATATTGCATGTGTGATCGTCTCTTCTGGCTCCCCACATCTAGGACAATGGTTGTCACATCTCAAATGCATGTAGTTTAAAATGCTTGTGACAGCTACATGTCTTGTAATCACCTGCCACATAAGATGGCACATCTTTTGGGGAGCCCTGACCTTCCACGCATGTGCTTGGAGCTTTGTGATACTAGGCTCACATACTTCAGTTTCATCTTTCTTCCTCAAGAAATTTTGCGCTACCCAGTATCCAGATTTAACGGTATATTGCCCATTCCTTGTATAGCTCCAGCAGTACGTATCCCGTCGGTGTGTGGAACTAATAGCCATGCTCTTGATGAGTGGAATGTCCTCCGCATTAATGTAATCTTGAAGTCGTCTTTCATCCCAAGTCTTCGTTTTTTGGTTGATCAAATCGCTCACACGCATATTTGGATGCAGAACCGGTGCCAAAGGGATTGCTGGTCTCGTAGGTATAGTAGGAATTCAAGGATCCTCCCAAGCTTTAACCTCATACCCCGAATGAATTTTTTGTCTGATTGCTAACAGTAGCAATTCTCTTCCGGGCGATATGCTTGTCCACACATATGAGGGACTACTAGTATTGATGGGACGCAAAGGCGTACTCAATCTATAATACCGACCTCTCAAGACGCGAGCAACCAGAGAATCTGGGTTTTGTCCCAGTCGCCATAATTGTTTTGCCAGTAGCGCCAGGTTAAACTCATGAATCATCCTGAAACCAATACCACCTTCATCTCTGGGTAAGCATAATTTGTCCCATGTTGACCAGTGAATACCCCTTTTTGGCAGATTTGAGCTCCACAAGAATTGTGCAATGGCACTAGCTAGATTCTCACAATCTCCAATGGGAGAAGGAAACAAGACATTACATACGTCGGAAAGGCAAGCAGAATTGATTTTATCATCACTTCTTTCCCGCCTTTAGAAAGTCATCTCCCAGTCCATCCATTCACTCTATTTCTCAGCTTGTCCCTAAGGAAAGCAAAGAGCTTACATTTGGACCCACTAATATCCTCTGGTATACCCAGATATGACCCCATTTCTCCTTCATTTTGGATCCCAAGTGTGTCTTTGATCTCTTGTCTCACATCCTGTCCGATTCTTTTACCAAAGAGTAAAGAAGACTTCTCAAAATTAATGCATTGTCCTGAAGCTTGTCCATACATCGTGACCACTTTCATTACTTCTTCACATTCACGGGGCTCCGCCTTACAGAAAAACAGACTATCATCAGCAAAGAGAAGGTGAGATACCGAGGGACACGCACACGTAATGCGCATCCCCGTTATCTTCCCTTGATTCTCTACGTGATTTAGAAGGCTAACGAGCGCTTCCGTGCACAGAATAAAAATGAAAGGGGACAGAGGATCTCCTTGTCGTAGACCTCTCTCCGGGACAATATTCCCTCTTGGATGTCCATTCATAAGGACCTTATATTTTACTGAAGTTACACATCTCATTACCATAGTTATCCAAACTTCAGAAAAAACCATCTTTCTCATGGTGGCCTCAATGAAGGGTCATTCCATTCGATAATAAGCCTTGCTCATATCTGTTTTGATAGCCATCCTCTTGTTTCTGCCACTCGGTTTTGTTCTTAGAGCATGGAACAACTCCTGAGCTATCATAATATTATCAGATATCTGTCTCCCAGCAACAAAGGCTGACTGGGTCTCTGAGATCCTATCTGGAAGAAACTTCTTTAATCTCTGGCATAAGACCTTAGAGATAATCTTGTAGCTAACATTGCATAAGCTAACAGCGCGTAACTGACTCATCTGATTTGGCTTCTCCACCTTTGGAATGAGACATATGTTGGTGTCATTGAGGCCAGATGGCACCGTTCCCTCGAAAAGGAATTGATTAACCATAAGAGTTAAATCATCCTTTACAATATCCCAGAATTTCTGGTAGAATAACGCCGTCATTCCATCCGGTCCTGGAGCTTTCTCTGGGTGCATCGCAAAAAGAGCTAGTTTAACCTCCCACTCAGTGACCGGGGCTGTTAAGGTCGCATTATCTGTTGAGGTAATTGTGGTAGATACCTCGGAGAGTGCTTCCTCTATTGCCTCAGGATTTGAGGATTGAAAGATGTGTCTAAAATAATTTGTAGCAATGGCTACCAACCCTTCCTCATCCTCCACAACATTTCCATCTTCATCCAGTAATTGGGTAATCCTATTCCTTGCTCTCCTTTGCTTCGTAAGGGCATGAAAAAATTTAGTATTTCTATCCCCCTCTCGCAACCAGAAAACCCGACACTTCTGTTTCCAGAACATCTCCTCCGCCTTAAGAGCGTCAGATAGTTCCTTAATAGCTGCCGCAATCTCCTCAGTAGTGGCATCATCATTTGAGGATAAACAATCGACCTTTACCTTTAGCTCCTCCACCGTTTTCTCTGAATTCAGATTATGCTGCCTTTTCCATTCACTTAATGCTCGCCTGCAGCTTGCAATGTGCTCCATTATACTTGCGTCTGGTGGGAGGTCCGGTGACTTCCATCCCTCAAGTAGAATTTGCATGAGCTCCTCATTATGTAACCATCTCTTATCAAATTTGAAATTCCTTGCTCTCCTAGGTTTCTTTCTCAGTATATCAGCTAGTATCGGACGATGATCCGATCCCCAAAGTCTCATATACTTAACCTTTGAATGAGGGAATTTTTCATGCCAGTTTTCATTCCCAACAGCCCTATCAAGTCGGCATCGAACTGTCGTCCGCCCTGCTCTATTTCCAACCCAAGATAGCATGTTCCCTGTATAAGGGAACTATAGCATACCACAATCACTTAACATCTGTCTAAAGGGCAGAAATGAGCTATCAGGGCGTTGTCTACCTCCTTCCTTCTCTGCATGACATGTAATTTAATTAAAATCTCCTATCATGAACCAAGGTCCATTTCTTGTTGTTGAGAAGCGCATAAGACGCTCCCATACTAAATCTCGTCTCTCTAGTACAGGGTCCCCATAAACAAATGTCATGTAGACATTTATTCCATCAATGACTGCCTCAATGTCAATCATTTGGTTATTTGAAAAAAGTACATTAACTTGAAATTCATCCATAAGAAACAAAGCTAAACCACCGCTATGGCCAAGTGGCTCAACGGTAAACAAACGATCAAATCCTAAGTCGGCCTGAATGTCTTGCAACAGCAGCCTCCTATTCTTCGTCTCAGAAAGAAACACAAGTCATGGGCGATGCTTCTGACACATCTTCGTACGGCGTCGAACTGTGAGGTTGCTTCCAATACCTCGACAGTTCCAACTGATTGTCCTCATTGATAATATTTCGATGAGGTTTTGGACCTCATCAATCCTTCCTTATTGTGTACTGTAGACCGTTTCTTCTTAACAAAATTATGCTCTCTCACATGGGCATCATAAGGATGTTCTGTGGTAGCAAAGTCATCTCTTTGATAATTCGAACTTCGTTTACCGCGGCCATGCTTCATGCCTCCATCATAGACTCGGTCACTCTGTTTATGAGTACTCCTTGAGCTTGCATATCTCCTCGACTTCTCCTGGTGTGAGGGACTGATTATCGCTTTGCCTTCCTTGGTGCTCCGTCCTTGCTCCATTTCCATAAGCTCTTCTCCCAGCATATCATCCAAGTTCTCATCATCCTCATCCAAGTCCACCTGATTATTAATACCCATATCCTTCAAAGCTCCAATTATCATAGCATCTCTTGGAGGACTCAATGATGTATCCGATTCCGAAGGGAATGTGAGAGATCTTCCTGAACTCTTAGAATGGATTGTAACATTGGCATGAGAAGGTGTTACAATCTTGCTGGCCAGCTTCTTAGTAGGCAATCGAGAACTGTCTCATCTTGTCTCAGTTCCACTGCAGGATTACTCCTAAGCGAGTTGAACACCTCCTTGCTCTTGTAGCCCATGTCTTCGCGATTAGTAGACGTATGAGGACTCCCGATAATGCCCTTGTCTTGTCTCTTAACTACTGCAGAGTTTTCCCTAACCGCCTTGTGCTTGTAACCCCTGACCTCTCGAATATTATG